ACTCATACTTGACCGTGATTGGTCAATTTCTTAAAGCTTAGGGCTTCCTATACTGTAGACTGGGACTTACAGAAATGATCGCGGGGATGAACCTGCGGGTTGGACACGCGCGATGCAACAAGCGGCCCGGCGATATACGAGTCCCCGCGTTTGTTCTTCCCGACGGCGCGGCGACTGGAACGATAGACCGGCGCAACGCGAGTCTGAACCTCGAAGCTCTTCGCCGTAGTCGCGCAAAAGAGCGTTCCCCGTAGCCGCGATTGACACAATTGACGTAACAGTGGGACGCACTTCTCGCGTCTACTGGATTACGACAGTCGTGACGGTCGTGACTCCCGCACTCTGTTTCTCTGCTCTTCACGCAGCGTCCAAGGCACGACGCGAGGTGTCTCGGTCTCGCGCAACCTTCACGAGAAAAGGGGAAGAACCGTCGTTGCGACACGACGCCGACAGCAGCGAAAAGACCTCTGGGCGGAGAGGCGGGCCGGGTTGTTGGACGACGCTCACCAGTTTCACCGCCTTCGTCAGCTCCTGCAGAATCCTGCCCTTGGAGAGGACCTTGTCCGTGCAGAGATCCATGTCCTCGCGGCCCGGCGGCATCTCGCCGCCGCTTACATGACCCGAGGGGCCGCGACGAGAGGAACGCGAGAGGAAGGCGCGCTCGCACGCACCCCGGAACACGTCGCCGAGGGTCGCACCGCGGAGCAGCAGGCCGGACCGAACGGCGGCACCCACGACGCGGTTGCTGTCGTCGCGCGACGGCCGACGAGTCGCCGCGCTGCCGTCGTCGTACGCGCTCATTGATTTTAGCGGGGCGCAGGTCACCCGCAATTTTCAAGCGGCGACTGAGGCAGCCATGTCCTCGCGCCGGCATTTCTTTCCTCCACTTCCTATCTCGAGAAACACGGTGGGAGCGTCGTCGTCTCCGTTTTCCTCCCGGCTCGCACTTTTCCGCTCTGTTCCTCGAGTGTTGAAAAGAGATTGATATACACTCGGTCCAAGAAAAAAAAGCGGTACACCTAAAATTTGTCAAACAATTGCCAAATTTCGAATGACGATGCAAAACTACGTGGGTAACAACGGTAGAAAGGTTGTTCAAAAAAGAAATTGAAGCTTCAAGTTTCTACTTCTACATCAGAGTTTGACGAAATAATTTTTTTCAATATGGCGGATGACAAAACGAGAACGTGCGAAATTGACAAATTCTCGTCCGAGTTTGCGACGATCCACGGCGAGAGGCAAGTGTTGCAACTTAATGGGATGAAAAGCGTGCGATAGTACAGAGCCTCCACTTCAAAATGCCTTTTTACTCGTTTCGATACGATGATGTTTCGCTGAAATATACGCATTTAAAGTAAAAACCGGCCTTTTATACATCCTTTTCTCTAGCGTGAATCTTTTACTCTAGCGTGAACTCCTTATTCCGTGGAAAATGTGTTTACCACAGAGTCTTGTGAATTTTATTCGTTTGAAAAATTTCATTGTTAAATATGAAGCTCGTCAACGAAATTTTCTCACTTTTCACGAGTCTACGCGGGAGAAAAAGATTCATGATCGAGCCCCTGAAGATGAAGACGCTGTTCCTTGGACCTGCAACTCCTTTACGGCTTATTTACGGGATATTGTTTATTTGCACGGTTATGTTTGAAGCTGCGCGAACTTGAGTTCCGAATTCATAACAAATTTGACAATGTCTTTTGCTGATATTATTAAATACCGTAAATAAACTCTGATTCGAGGGTTAACGGTACACGACGAGCCGATGACGATAAGTGCGTTTCGTTGTAATTTATAAAATAAAAGTCCGCAAACAAATGAGCCAAGCGCGTGATATTGCTACGCGTTTCTTTTTTCATTGGCGAAACGATTTCGTTAATCGATGCGATAATTAATCTGCCTCGGCCACGTCGAGAGATCATGTGGCGCAACGCGTTAATTAATCCGTCGACATCCGGTTACGTCGAACAACCAAGTTAAAGTTAAGAACTTTATCTACAGGCGACGCCGGGGGCTTCTCCAGACGCAATGAGATAGAAGACGCGTACGCACGTTTATTTCTCCGCGTCTTTGTTGCCGAGGTCGCTGAATGGACGAGTCCCCCGCGATTCCTACAGAATTTCGATTAAATTCCGCGAGTTTGATTTTAAGCGCGTTCGCTCGTCGACTCGAATGCCAAGGGGATCCCAGTGAGAAATGACTCGTCGATCGACGTCGAAACGACGTCGAATCGACATCATTTCGACGTCGATCGACGAATCATTTCTAACTGGAGAGTCCCCGCTGCATAGACGCGAGAGATTTTTCCATCCTCTCGAAAAACAGGGATAATCGCGATGATATGATGAATTTCCCTTTCAGAAAAGCCACGCGATGAAGGAGTGGCCGAGACATCGGAATAAAGGAAGGGTATCTTCCTTTCGTCTCGCGTTGCAGGTTATGAGATGTCTGGGAATTGACTCAACCGACGGACGTCAAGATTGAAATCTTCGTTCGGCTGCCGCGTCACAGATGACGCCACTGTTTGCAATACGCGCCGGCGACGAAATGACCGGGATATTCGAAAGATATCTCTGGTACCTTGTCTCTCTAACTTTGGTCGGTATTCAGATCTTGCATTCAAGACCGTTTTAAGATCATCTTTAGATACTCCATATTCAATGAAATGTTCCATACAGCATCTTTAGATAAATTTAAGATGGTCTTCAATATAAGATCTGGGGCTCGATCATGAATCTTCTCCTCTAGCGTAAACTCGTGAAAAGTGTCTCGCTTTTCACGAGTTCACGCTAGAGAAAAAGATTCGTGATCGAGCCTTAGAGAGTCCGTACAGATTCGTAGAGAGTCCAGAGTGTAGGGAGGTCCAGGTTCAAAACTTCAAACCCTGGCTGAGGCAATATTCTTCGCAATAAATTTTCTCTAATTAGAATTGCCAGTTGCGTCGTTTAACAATTTTCTCTGCATTGGAAAATAAAAACTTTATTGTAAATTTCGACGAAGAATAAATATAATATAAATGTTTGACGAGAGCACGCGGTATTAAAATTGCGGGAGCCTGTGCAGCGGTGAGTGCAAATTGGACAACGTCTGGTCTACGAAACCGCGATTACAAATTCAATTTGCGACGATCCTCCGAGGAACCTGCCTGATCCTGGCCGTTCTTGCCGCTCTCGCGCGGGCTGCTCGAATTCGAACGCGAGCATTTATCCGAATTGCACTTGGGCCTCGTCTTCGATTTGCTCTTGGAGTTTCGTACGCGCCGCGCAATCTCCTCGATGCATCTCTGATCCCTCTCGCTAATGCCGAGGCTCACGCCGCCGCTCGCGTATTCCTCGAGCTCCCTGAAATCGAATGCGTTATCGCGCGGAATGTAAGTCGGACTCGGCGATAGGATTGACTCTGAATGCTGAGAAGGAACTTTTCTACGATCGTAGAATCGCAGAAGAGTGAGGTAGCCTATGTTTCTCTCTCACTCGCAGGAATTTGACGAACTAAAAGTCGGAGCGTGAGGCAAGTGTAAGTAGAGACTGACAGAAAAGTAAGTGAAACTCCTAGGAAGAACGTAAATTGAAACAGCGGAACGCAAAAGAAGCGTTAACTTCTTAAAATGCTTCTTTTACATTACGTTGCTTCAATTTACGCTTCCTAGAAGTTTCACTTAAACTTCCGTCATTCTTGATTTACATTTTGTTTACGCTCCGATCTTCATTTTCGCCAGGATCAGTTTGAACTCGTCAAGTAGAAATTAAGCTCTTCGAGCGCGCGACGTTTGCGCTCGTCTCTTTTATCCTCGTACGCTACAAGTAATCTAAAAAGAAATTGCCTTGCAGAATAGACGCGAGGCGGCCGCGAGATCCCGTCGATGCCCTCGATCGAAATGTCTCAGACCCAACGAGAAATGACTCGTCGATCGATACCGAAACAATGTCGAATCGACACCGTCAAATTGGCGCGAATGCATTGGCCAATATTGTCCAACAAAGCCAATGTGTCGGCAATTTGACAGTGTCGACGTCGATTCGACGTCGCTTCGACATCGATCGACGAGTCATTTCTCGCTGGGGAGCGTTTAGCGCGTCTCGTTACATTCAAATCACCCGGCAAATCTTCCGGAGCGCGGGAAGAACCGCGCAGTCGCGTGAGCGCCGGCGGATCGACGAGCCGCGGCGAACTTCACGACGGTCCCGCGCGCCTTTTCGAAGAGAAGACCGTTACGTCGCGCTCGTCCCGGGAGATCGAACGAACGGATCCACCGAGTGCTACGGCGCTACTCGACGAGCATCGCGACGCCGAGGACGCGGGGAGCGTGGAGCACGCGACCGAGACGTCGCGACAGGTCGCGCCGCGACGAATATAATCTAGGTAAGCGACGCCGCGCTCGCGCCCGGCGACCCGCCATGTTGGCGGGCGTCGCGTCCCGAGTCGCGACTCGCGTAATGCACTTGCGAGCGCGTTTCCCGCCCGCTCGCGCTTCTCACTCGTCGCGGCATCGAACGTCCGAGATATATTTTACAGTCTTCGCCGCAAACATAGCCCGACGCGCGGCAGTTAATGAGCGCCGACGTCACGTAACCCGGCAACAAGTTTCCCCGACGAGTGAGGGACGCGGAGGGCGGGGGGGGGGGGGGAGGCAAGACGGGGAATGCGACGGGTTTATTATGAATAAAATAAATGTAATTAAGCGTGGCGCTCACCTATGACGGTGGTGCAGCCTAGCAATTAATTTGTTCAGGTACTGCGCTTCTTTCCGCATCATTTTCAGCTCCGACTCTTTTTCCTGGAAATGAAAGGCCCGCTGATACGAGACGAAGCCGCTTGGTTCCGCGCGTTAATTAACGTCCCCACGGACGTGCGGATTATTCACGGGTGAGCTCCGTCGTACAGCAATGTGTACGTAACGAATATCGTATCGCGATAATTTGCGAGTATCGCGCAAATCCGAGCGCCAATCCGAGGCGCGAGAATAGAAACGTGACGTTGTTTCAACGGCGTCGGCTAACAATCTAATCGAGGGTAATTCTTGTTAATTCAGATACGGTGTTGCCGAAACAACGACGTTGAGACACTTTTAACACACGTTGACCGCCACTGTACGTAGAGATAAGTAATTAAATTAGATAACTTTGTCCATTTTTCAGCACGTGTTCTTTTAATTGTCTACTTAATTACAGTTATCTTTCGTCGAGACAATAACTCAGCGAGAAATGACTCCTCAATCGATGTCGCATCAATCGACGCATCACTTCTCCCTGGGAAAGTTCTTGGGGTCAATTCTGCATCTTGCGACATAGCGAAAATGTTAAAAGTGGGCGGCTTTGTCTCTTCCTAAGGGGACAGTTAGAAAGACACGGGGCTACTCGCTTTCAGCATTTTCACTACGGTGCAAGATACAGAATTAGCCCACTTATCTCTGGCTCGAAAAAGCCGGATCGGCGAATGACCGACATCTGATCGCGAGCTGCGAGCTAGCTCGTACTCGGCAATCAACGTGTTAACCGAAAGCAAATAGACATTATAAATACAATCAAGCTCCGCAAACGTTGCGTGTAAACAGCGAAGCACCGAGAGTTACATCGATACGTATTTAAATTCGACCTTTCTCGAGCTGAGAATTCACCCGTTATTAACGCGGCGACGTCAATTTAGCCCGTCGGTTTCCGATATGCCATCGAGCACGCACGCCCGGTTATCGGTATTACCGTCAAAGTATCCGTGACCGCGCCAAGTTCGTCCTGGCGAGTTTCGCAAAGGTGACGCGCGGTGATCGCCTCCGCGGTCAGCCGTGCTAATTGCTGCTGGCAATTCCGCTCGCGCTCCACCGCTTTGTCCCAGGCCTCCTCCCGGGCGATCACGGCGTCCCTCAAAGTCCGCATATCCCTCTCGAGTAACTCAAACTCCGACCTAATCGCGCCGAGGGCGTCCGCGAGTTATCGGGGGCCGAGCCGCGATTCGGGTGGATCAAAGGTGCGCAGCGGCAAAATTAAGGTAAAAACGTTATTCAAATAGGCTTACCGATCGCCTGAGAGAACGAGAGAGCTCGCTCAATTCGATAGAGTTTACGCTTCTAGTGTTCGTTACCGTTTAGTAAACCTCTTAGCCCAGACGGGGAAAATTTTTAATGAGTTCAGTCGTAGTGATTTGTACGAAAATGTTAAACGTCACAAAAGTGGCTTGAGCCGACATTTAGTTTCACGAATTTTATGCAAAAAATGTATTCGGTGAGATACTTAGAATGAAGTTTTGTTTTAAGATATTTTGATAATTTTGCATTTTAATTAATTGATTAGTATACTCAGTTGATTTTTAAAAACTAAAGAATTATTCACCTCTTTCAAATTATCCGGTACTATTAAGGTATTATACAATTATTGCGGAGCATTTCACAATTATTACGCGATATGCGACGAGACGATTATCAGATCCCATGTTGTTGAACGTGATCACATTGAATATTTTCGTAATCCATCATCCTTGTTTATTAATGACGTTATTTCATATTGCTTGACACAAAGATGTTCAATAACATGAGACGCGAAATATCATACATTCATCCAGCTTCAATCTTGCCGGGGAAACTTACTTCGTGATAGTAATCCGCGTGAGTGATTCCCTTTGGCAGCCCTCCAGTTCTCCGTGGCAGTCTTTGCAGACTTCCCAAATTTGCAATCCGCGATCGATCTTGGAAGCTATATTCGTCGTGGAAGTGCATTTATTTTCTAGACATTTCTCGTCGTGTTTCTGGAATTTATAGAGAACAGTTTGAATTTAAAATTTTCTGCGCGAAGTTTTCTTATACTTTACGTAACATGTGATACGCGAACCTGCGGGGATAATTTAGAGTTTTAGATTCCTGAATTGTTGGGTAGTGTAAAGGATATGACTGCCGTCCTTTCTCTATAATAATTAATTGGTTCTAGACCTTCAGACGTGTCTTTTTCCATAAAAACGAGAAAAAATTTATAATAACGTCGCATATCCTTGAAAAAATTAATAAAAACGTAGGAATTTCTACATATTTTATCGGTTACAAAATTCTTAATGATTATAATTTAATATAATCATTTCAATCTCACGTCGATTATTATTCTTTATGCGTTAAACATTGGAAATTTAGAACAGTATTTCCGCGTACGGCATTTTATTGTATTTTAGAAATACTTTCTTATATTCAATAGATATTCCTACCGTTTGTCTCATTAATAAGTCAACCAGCTTCTCTTTTCCTTTCTCAAGTTCGCTCTGCAATAATGACACATTCTTCTGCATTTTCTCCGTTTTAATCGCGTCCTCTTCTAGCCTGCGCATCGTTTAGCTTGAGAGAATTTTTCAGTCGTAGGTATTTTATTCTATTATAACTTTTTACTATATTATAACAAAAAGCTTGATTATTGTTATTTATTACTGGCAACTTAAAGAGATTTCTCAATCAATCTCTAGAAGATTTGGACTTAGCAATTGCGTCCAGGTTGGGGGAAGGGGACAGGGATACTTAAAAATCGCGTCTCGACAGTTCCGTGTACTGCCGACAATCCGAATTGGCGCGCAGTTTAAAGTCGAAAAATAGACGCGAGGATATCATCTTTACACTGTTATTGCGACAAACATTACCACATGCTTCAGTGGTCGAACTGACGAGACGCATGGAGAGTAGAGAAGTCCAGGTTCAAGCCCTGGAGGTAATATTTTTCGCAATAAATTTTCTGTATTAAAACGCTGGCCGGTTAATGTCGACTAAAAAGCTTGATTATCGAGGGAATCTGTTCAAACGCGAACGATCGCGTAGTCGCGTGCGGTTCTTATCTAGCGAACACATAATTTAATTAAGTTTCGCGGTGGTAATCTCACCGCTTCGTTAGGCTCTTATTTTCCGCAACGAGATCGCGATTTCTGAGATGCAGCGCCGCGTTGTTGTCTTCCAGGAGCTTCAGGCAAATTTGCATTCTCTCGATCGAAACCACCGGCGCCGATTCACGATGCCTCGTCGCCTCGTATGCGTGTGCACTCGCGATTCTCCCCATTTGTACGCTCGAGTCTGGAAACGGCGGATCGCCCCTGCCTACGACGCCGGGGGATTCCAAGCTAAATTAATATTCGGGCGCTTCTGCGACTGACACGCTTCGGGTCGCATTGTTCGAAACGTATGATTAGAGCTAGACCGAGAGACGCCGGTTTGATCGCACGCAGGAATTGAGTTAGGAGGCAAGTTAGTCAATTCCACGTTATCGATCGAATCTTACTTTGCTGCCAATTTCATAAGTTTTAATTAAATGAAATTATTTTTACTTCCGTTCTTTAGATAATTTCTGATAGAATCTGACAATATTAAATGATATTAAATTGCGATGTAGTGAACGACATCTGCACATTGGTATATAAAATTGTTAATAAATATCGCAATATCAGGGTCTTTGTGTAATCTAATAAGCATATATTTTTATTTAATCTTCTGAATGCAAAAATATAATTTAAAATTCTTTTCCAAAAATGCAACATGTAATCTAATCGTTTTTTAATTTCACCAAAATAATTGTCAGAAATATGTTGGTGCATGTTAGGAATTTATACATTTCTGTAATAACTTATTCAACATTCTTTACCTTCTCTAAATGTCTCATTATTATTTCTGCTTAAATTGGATGGTTTCCAATTTGAATGACTTCCAGAATAGCTTCCTGAAAGATGAATACATCAACTGACTAACTGAAAGAAAACTGCCGGTTGTATAAAATAAATTGCCAATCCAGACCGCGAAATATTACGCATTGAAATGTATATTGATTCAGAATATTGCATCTTTTACGCGAGGAGAAAAGAAAACATAACGACAAAATTAATATCCTTCAATTTCTTTCGACATTAAATCAGGAGTACGATCTTATTTCGTCTCCATCTTTAGCGTATGTCTGGAATATGTATAAATTCTCTATATTCCTTAGAAATGTATATAAAGAAAATTAATTTAGCGATTTCAATTCCGTTTGAAAATGAAAAATCCAGGCAATTAAACGAAATCTTATCGAAAAATCCTAACTGTACCATAAATTCTGGAGGAAATGTAAATTTCGCTTGTATACGTATGCATGATGCGTATTACATCTCCTTGTAATTAGGTTTTTCTGAATATGTAGAAAATTACGTACTATTGCTGCAGACTTCGGAGCAAGGATTTTTGACGGTAGATGTATGGCAGGTTGTCGCATAACAGCTGTGAGGATACTTGAAATCCAAGTGCAATCGATCCCGCCGCGGGTCCATTATTCGATAACGAGTGCACGACATCGCGTTCTCGCGCTCTCGCCAATTAGATTGGCAAATATAATCCCCCTTCAAGCGTGATTTTTCCACACCTAGCTTCCGAGCTGCTTGCTATTCTAGGAGGAAAAATTCTCTCGTCTTCCTACACTTTGACTAATGTGCTATCGTTTCTTGTACGAGGACGTATTTCGCTTTTGCAAAAATTGTAAACACAAAATTCACGTCGCGACGATTCGGATTAACGATTTCTTGCCGTTCGGCCGCGTCAAATTTATTCCACCCTTTCAACCGAGAATAAAGCAACTTTCGCACTTTTGTCCCTGACGTTCACCGGAATGCTGACACCTCCTCTCGTTCCTTTTCTTCACGGGCGGTAAATAATGATTACTGCGCTGGTCCTGGAATCGGCAGGTCCCCCACAGACCTAAACGTCCGAAAACCCTTTCCCTCGAGTCCTCACATATTCCCCCTAAAGGGGATGGGAATAAAAGGAATACGTTACGCGATCCGTATTCGTCGCATGCTCCACCGTGAAATTTCGCTCAATCTCTCACGTGGCCATTGGTTACCGATTTCTTTTGTTTCCTCTCTTCTTTAACACTCTTTGCGGCAGAGTTCGTGACCATTGATAAGCGAACTCGTCACGAAAGCGTTGCTATTTATTACTTTGAGAGGGATGATATCTTTCGCGTGCAAATTTTCAATTTCCACAGGTATGAATAACCCGGAATTATTCGATCTTCGCTAAGAATTACGTACCGAATGAAGCAAAAGTTAAGTTCGATGTTTCTCCGGACATGACGAGCACGTAGATAATATCACCGAAATGAAGCGGTGCAAATATTTCCTTGCGGAATGAGGAGCGTGAAACGATTATTCCGGCCGCGTTTGACTTATCATGGCGCCGTTGGTCTTTACAGCTACGATTACGTGGGCCGTAAAAGGAGACGAAAGCAACGGGAGAAATTTTATTTCAACCGAGCAACACGCGCCGCATTTAGCCACGCAATTTATTAACGCCATCGTGTTGTACGTATTAAAGTCGCTTAAGGCGTCCTGGCACAAAATGTTTATCACACGGCATTACGAAAATTTAAACAAATGACTAGAGGCGTATTTAAAAACTTTGACGCACTCGTTTTTACTTCTCTTGAAATAAATTAATATTCCTGCTTGCGTTTATGATGGACGTGCGATGCGTGACGTGCTACAATAAAAGACAACAAAATGTTTTATTTAACATATCACTTTGAGAACAATAAAAAATATTTAATTTAATTCGCCAGGTGAATTTCTATAAAGTAATTTAAATTTCGTAATTTAAATTTAATTGTGTGTGCAATGTTCCTCGACGTCATTAGCATGTAATTTATATCATTGTTACACTAAAAAAATATTAAATTATTAGGCAATGAATGTTTCATTCGAACATTTCTATAATTAGCATTTCGAAGAGTACTCTCTGAAGTTTGTGGAGTGAAAATAGAACCGTGGAGTGAAATGTTCACTCTATTGGAGCAAATCTTGACTCTATTAGAATGAATATTTACTCCAATAGAGCGAATATTTCACTCCGTGGTTCTATTTTCACTCCAAAAGCTTTAGAGGGTAAGGTTTATTCACCATATATCGGAATTAAAGATTGCATTAAATAATTTATAGCTTTATTCACTTTTATCTACAAACAGTACCCATTATCGATGTGTGTGCGAACCGTGTCACATCGCACAATAATATATGTCATAATAATTTATGCCTTCCTCTTTTACACAATGTGATGAATAATAACCGAATTACGAGCACACTCTACACGTTTTGCGCGTTTAGGAGGTACATTACATATACATCGTTGTACTCATTGTACGTATAACTCACGCATTGGCGTGACAACTTTAGCTCTGCAATACGGTGAATAGTTTCTATAATTAGCGACAAATAAGATCCGGAAATTAAGTTGCCCGCAATAGATCAGATGGAACATTTATCAGGCGTAAAAAGCTCTGCACTTGCATTAAATTATTGACAAGCTAACGAGGAGACGGAAGCAATTTCTATACAAATCAGTCTTAGCAGAGAATAAAATAATACGTAACTTACAGGTGACAGAATAGTTTTTTTGTTTATCCCGTTAGAAAACCTAGGTTACTGGATAAATATTGAAAGATCGGGTGCAAACCTCGTTGTGTACTTACTCAGGCACTGCAAACAAAGTGTAATTATTCGGTCCCTCTAATCTAATTGGAAATGGTTACACAACAGGATACTTGTTCAACATCTCATTTTTTATATCTCAGCTTCGCACAGGTTTGATTGAAAGTTCGCTCTATACGAGAGAATATTAAGACACACTGACGGATCGAACAGTTATATCATACTTGCGATCGTTATCTAATAGCGGAAACGTAACTTTTCATAGGGACGAACGTTGCTCCACACACATACACACATATGCACACACGCAAAAAATTCATTTATAACCTTTTATATATATATATCTAAGCATCTTTCTCTATTCATCATAAATAACTCATTTATCCCACCGCTTGCTGGCGCACAAATCCGATCAACTTACCGGAAAGAAAGGTGGGCGTCGTCGATCACCGCGTAAATCATAACGCGGAGAGATCATGCGGAGGAACACGTGGCGTCGCTTTAAACGCAGTCATAGCGCTCTCGCGAAAAGAATATATTACACATTAATATGTTACACGCCATTAGGCATGTATTACATTACGGAGATGTATATACACGCGGTAGTTCAGCTTGTTACATTATACACTTAGATGCATATGTACACGTATACTTTGAGCGTATTATTTTCCACACAGGCCGTTCGATGGCTGATTAAATACCTTTTACCCTGGTTTCTTGAAAAGTATTTACTTGTTTCCCCATCGAAATGTACGAGAAACACGTAGAAAATATATTACTGTTGAAATAAAATACATACGCGATGTGTGACGCTTCTTAATAGCTAGAAAATATGTTTCTCTTGTAAAACGCGTTTTTTTTATTTGTGCAGGATACTTCAGAACTCGCTATCTTGATTTTAGCAACAGATTCAAGCGGTCTTAAAATACACAAGAGAGAATATTTCACGTATTTTCGGCAAACAAGTGAAATGTACGAAAACTAGCAGACGAGGATAAAAGGTATCCTTAACAATCGATCGAGCCCGAAAAATAAACCTATCTAATCTGATTAATAAATCGCACGAGTAACATGAAACACATACATTATTATCGCACCTCAAATGTTCTCCTTAATACTGATATCAATGATTATGACACTATTGACGCGCGTACACAGTCATTTTAGACTACGTATTATCGTACGACTATTTCTGATTTATGGAGTATTCTAAGTTCTAATTTCTGTAAAAAGAAAACTAGAAGCGGATAGTTGAAGATGGCGGTCTATCATAATATTCTTTACGTTGTCGTAATCAAGAAAATAAGCTCTGAGTTACAGTTAGATCCAGATCTCTAATACGATTATTGCAAGAATGCAATCTATGTTACGGTAAAAAAATAGCTTCAAATAAAGAATTCTTGTATCCTTGAGATAAGAACTATTTCATTAAACATCGGTTGTACATTATTTTACATATAAGTTAAAGCTATTTTAACTTCATCTATTCATAGATTTCATTTATTTCATCTATCTTGGAAATGCGCGGAACTACATGATTTTGGTCTTTCTCTTGAGACTTGTGTTTTTCTCCTGAAAAAGGCGCTTTAGACTTGTATATCTCTCCAATACAGGTTTACGTATATCTTATTAGAAAGAAAATATAGAATAGACGAATAGTATACCGACATTATGTATAAAAACGTTTCAGAACATTAAATTGGTTTGAATTAGGAACAAAATAGAGCTTACGCTGCTTCCTCTCGCAGTGCTCAACATATATTTAAAAAAATGTATCATTTAAGACATGTTTAAATAAGGAAAAAATAGTTTTGAGTAAATTTTTAACTCGGCAAATATATAAGTGATTGTACGATCGATGAAATCGCGGTAGTGAATAGAATATATAATTTGCGCGCTATATGAATTAATCTATACTTTAAGAAAAAAGACCTAGCTTTATCAGTCCTTTAGTGTTGGACGGTGTGAGGAAGTTGTAGGAGATTCATCGCAGAAAATATTATGGAAAATTAGCTGCCTTTGTTGTTTTGTCTGCTTTTATATAATTTTTATTCGTTACAGGATTGAACCTCCCTCACTTTCCCATTTTCTCTCTCTCTCTCTCTCTCTCTGCACTTATTACGTAATAAAATACGAGAATTTTATATACAAGGTATATCAGAACAATATGTTTCCTTTAAACTACGGCCAATTTATAATTTAAGGGCGATTCGTAGTAAAAAGAAAGTGTATTAAAATAAGTCGGAAAACTTTTAGCTTTGTCTCAAAGTTTAGATTTCTTTTATGTTACTTGAAAATTAAGAACGTTTTA